CGGTATGCGGGCCTCTCACTGTTGTGGCCTCTCCCGTTGCGGAGTACAGGCTCCGGACGCGCAGGCTCAGCGGCCATGGCCCACGGGCCCAGCCGCTCCGAGGCATGTGGGATCCTCCCGGATCAGGGCATGAACCCGTGTCCCCTGCATCGGCAGGCGGACTCTCAACCACTGCGCCACCAGGGAAGCCCTATATATTAATTTTTGATAATGGCTGTGTTTAAAAACTAGTTCACAAAAATTCTTTAACATTTAACAATTGTATCTCATGACCTAATTTAAACTGGCTCTAACACACCACTGGTTTTATTTATTTATTTAATTTAATTTTATTTATTTTAAAGATTTAATTTATTTATTTTTGGCTGTGTTGGGTCTTTGTTGCTGCGTGCGGGCTTTCTCTAGTTGCGATGAGTGGGGGCTACTCTTCGTTGCAGTGCATGGGCTTCTCACTGTGGTGGCTTCTCTTGTTGCGGAGCATGGGCTCTAGGTGTGTGGGCTTCAGTAGTTGTGGCACGCAGGCTCAGTAGTTGTGGCTCACAGGCTCTAGAGTATAGGCTCAGTAATTGTGGCACACGGGCTTAGTTGCTCTGTGGCATGTGGGATCTTCCCGGACCAGGGCTCGAACCTGTGTTCCCTGCATTGGCAGGCGGATTCTTATCCAATGTGCCACCAGGGAAGTCCCACACCACTGGTTTTATATAATATGTAGATAATATTTGGTCACAATTTTTATTTGCTACAGGATGACTTTTTTCCCCCTGATGAGCGTTTTTAGTTTTTTAATAGATTTGCTGCTCTTTGTAGGGTCATTGTTTCAATTCTATGCTCATTTCTGTTTATTACTTATAACTGAATGATGTGAGTGAAGCTGAATGATTTCTAGCCTGGATTTTCTAAGGGGTTTCAGGGTTGGGGAGCTGGGAAAAGCTTGGATAGTGATCCAGGGTGGGTCCTTTTCATCACATGGAAACTTTTTCCTTCCCCGCTGCCACTGAGATAGACCACTTCTCTCAAACGTGACCTGTGCATGTGATTCTTCATGTCACCCTGACCCTAAACCTATAGCTCAGAGACCAGCGGGCCTCCTGCTATCTGCTAGCTCACTGCCATTCCTATCCCGCTTTCCAGATAAGAGCTATAGGTTTTACGTCTCGGTGTACACATCTTCCATTTAGGAAGTGAATTTTTACTAGCATTTCCTGAGATCGGTCACCATTTGACCGTTGTGCCGTGAGATCTCTTTCTGTGGTTCTTCTTTTCAGTTCCTCCTGCCAAAGCCTGCTTGACTCAGATGCTTTGGGCAGGCCTTACTTGTATGTTCAAATGTGGAGATTTTTCCAGTCTCCCATTTTATTGAAATTGGCATTTTAATTTTCTGTTCTCCTTAGGGAAAATACTGACTTCATGCAGTAATGTTTCTACTGAAATCCCCACCAGTGGTTCTGACTCAGAAAAAGAAAAAAGCAATAATGGGCCTGTCCTGTCTCAAGATTTTTTTGTTAGGGAGTTTCTGTGACCATTTGGCTTTTTTTTTTTTTTTTTTTTGGTGGGGGGGGTTATCTTTTACTTTCCCAAATGCACGGTGGGTCCTCTTGGATTTTTCAGTTACCTGCAGACTGGAGATGGAAGAGAGAAAGTCAAGATGGTTCTTGTTTGGTCTGGGGCAATTGGCCAGCAGGTATTTAGGGAAAATGTTTAAATGTGAGATGCTCTGCTGGTCCTCAGGGGCTACACAGGAGTTTAAGATGTGGACTCTGAATGCATGCAGTTTGTATTCTGGGTGGAAATAAACTTGACATGAGGACAGTATGTGTAGTAAGCATGTCTTTGGGGGCATCCGTGGGGACGCTGCCTCCACAACCTGGTCGTGAAACCTGAGGACCCAAATACGTTTAAGTTCAACCACCATTGAATGGGGCCTCACATGGGCCAGGCCTTGTAGGGGTGCTGGGGCTGTAAAAATGGGTCTGACACAGTGCCTGCCCTTGAGAAGGAGGAGATGGGGTAACTAAGAGCGTGAATGGCAGTTACTGCTATTGAACACTTACCATACATATGCACGCCCTAGTCCAAGCATTTGAAATGACACTCCTCTGGGTTATTCGTGACTCTCATTCCCATCTTACAGATGGGAGGATGGAGCCACGGCAGGCCACTTGACGTTGGTCACGCAGTTGGTGGCAGTCAGCATCCAAACCTGAGTGCGGTTCCCCCAAACTCTGGCTGTGCTTTGGGTTTAAACACTTTAGGCGGCAGCATGGATCCTCCCCTCCTATGTCAGTCGAGGTTCGTTGAGAAACAGACACCGAGATGGGACTAGATGTGCAAGCGGCTTACTGGGGGAACATCTAGAAGGGCCACAGGGAGGGAGCTGCAGGAGGTGGGGGCACCTTTGGAATGTGTGCGAGCAGGGCTGACACCATGAAATGAGGGAGAAGAAAGGGCCTGGCACCGTCACGAGACAGTCTGAGTGGGCTGCTGGTGTCCCTGGGAAAAAGTCTCCTGGTGGGCAGGAATGGCCGGAGTCTAGACCCTTGCCATGCTCATCACCAGCTGGGAGCAGCCTGAGGGCAGAGCAGCCTGGGGCCAGCGCCAAGGTTAATTCCAAGGAATGGCAGCTGCAGGTTGCTGGGAAATGCTGCTCCCACTGTGGGTTCTCTTGAAGGAAATTCTAGGTGACACTCCTGGGGCCACCACACAGGTCTCTCCCATCTGCCCCATCTTCCCATCCCAGACACCTGGGTAGAGGAGGAAACGTTAGAGTCTTGTTTTAAGGTCATTGTCAGGGAACCCTTCTTTCTTTCCTTCCATTTTGACCGCCCCCCACAGTCTGTGTCACACACATGGTGGCCTCCTTTGACTCATAGCATGGAACAAGAGCTATAGAGAGACCCAACAAAGATGTCTGTTCTGTCAGATCCCTGGGTCCAAAGGCTCCACTCATGGTCACCATCAGTCCAACGTCTTAACATCCATTTTGTATCCATTTGTCACAGGTATGATTTGAGTCTGGATGAAATGAGAGCTTTGACATTTCAGAGAGTGATGGTTACCATGGGTCTGCCTCTGATAAAAGGTACAATTCAGGATCAGGTAAGTTTCATTGTTATTTTGGTGTCCTGTGTGTGAGTGAAGGAGAAAGAGACAGAGAAAGAAAAATATTTTGTTTTGTTTTGTTTGCTTTTGTGACTTGTGGAAGGAAGCACATTAATTTTGCCCTGGGGGAAACAGACAATGTGGTCGGTATGGGGGAGTGGCTCCTTCACTCTCCTTTTCTGTCCCCTCCCTGTGTTAACCTAATTGATTCACTTTTCCCGAGCCCACAGGCCAGGTAGTAGGGGAATGAGCAGAGGTAATGAAATATTTGTTCACAAAACAAATATAATTTGGGGTGTAAAACTCAAATATCTGAGGAACGTAGTGAACTAATTTTATGGATTTTTTAAGCATTTTAGACTTGTCCAAAATGGATGAGTCTTGTTTGCCTAAAAATTGCCGCTCTCAATGCAGTTAAATTATTTTAGTCAATTTAGCCTCATTAAAAGAAAGAAGGAAAGAAAGAATATGGGATGAGAGGATTCCTTTGTGATGCTAGCATTAGAAGCTCTATATTTTAGGCAAATTTAAGTCAATTCATGCAGCTTCATAGCTTCCTTAAACCTAACACTTTACACAGGAAAAAAATGCCCTCTGGTGAGATCCCTGGGGGAAGGCCCTGAACCGGGGATGAGCTTCAGTAGATGCTGAGGAGCTGAATGTATTCTGCCATGAGCCTGGCCCCCTTCCTGCCCAGCGTGGTCTGCGGAGGGAGAGGCTGAGGAGTGAGGGGTTGAGGTCTTTCCCATTCAGGAGACCACAGGGGCTCGTTTCTCTGTGGAGTGTGGATCAGAGCTGGTGGGGGCCTGAGTCCGTGTTTGAGACCAGATCACCACCCACCCACCCACTTCGGTTGGCTGTCTGTCCTGAGGAGGCAGACACAGAACTCAGCATCTTCTCCTGAGGAAGAAATTACAGGCAGAGCTTTGGCACCTCACCTCCTGGTGAGGTCCAGCAGCCCCTCCAAGGTGACAAGGGCACAGCGTCACCTCGGAGAGCATGTGCAAGGAAATACCCCGAGAACAGGGTGAAGCATGCTGGCAAAGTCTGGAAAATCATTTCATACCAAGTAGAACATGCTGGCAAAGTGGATGTTCAAGCTAGTAAATTGCCTCTCAATGAAACATACATTTAGAGGTGAATGCAGCCATCCAAACAACTAACCAACCAACCAACCAAACAGCCAAACAGCCAACCAACCAACCAACCAGCCAGCCAACCAACCAACCAACCAACCAGCCAACCAACCAACCAAACAACCAAACAAACAAACAGCCAAACAGCCAACCAACCAACCAACCAACCAACCAACCAAACAGCCAAACAGCCAACCAACCAACCAACCAACCAACCAACCAAACAGCCAAACAGCCAACCAACCAAACAGGAGGGAGCCAGTGGGACTCAGGCTATTCCTGGCCAACTGTAGTGAGGACTGGGGACAATGGATAATGGATAATGACGTTCCCCACTCCATCCGTGACTGCTTACCCCCCAACCCTGTCCCCAGCCATCTTCTCTCTCATCCAACCAACCAACCAACCAACCAACAAACAAATGAACAACCAAACAAACAACCGAACATAAAAACCCCAATCCCTCTTTGCTTTCAGCCACTTTCTCCATCAGAATCTGGCCTCCAAATGTGTCCGGTGTGGGGCTGGCAGGAAGGTGAGATTCCGACATGGGGGCCAGTCTCCTGCCCCCTTAATCAGCCCAACATGTCTAAGGCTTAAGTGAGTGTCAAAAATCAAGACCCGGACGTGAGGGTTGATCCTTTAATGAGGTTTATCAGTTGCAGCCTGAGCCCCCCACGTCTGAAGGATTAGCCTGCATACTCTCGCTACTGATGAAGTGTGTTAAGCCCTGGATCCAATTATCTCCCTGTTTTCACGGCTCCCTCCGTGGTCGTCAGCAGCCTGGACAGCTCTGTCCTGTATGATGAAGTGTGATTCCTCTGGGAGGCACAGGATTGGCCCTGGACGATCCCTCCAGCTCATTTCTGTTAGTTATTTCAGCCTGTTTGGCGCTTCTCTCTGTGTGAATTTGCAAAAGCCAATGAACCTGAAGGAAATTAAACCAGTCAGTCATCGGTCACTGGGGCTGCAGGCTTATCTCATGGGGCGGGTGTCATAAGACTCAGCAGAACATCTGCATGTGAAGGCTCTCAAATTCTCCCCTGTGAACAGCTGGAGGAGCTGTCCACGTCCAGTAATTCTAGAAGTGTTGCATGATTCATCCCACCTCTTCATGAAAATATTGAGTCATGGACTGCCAGTTCAGAGAGCATTCCAGGTCCTTCCATCTTTCCCTGGCCCTCGTGTGTTGCTCTTAACTTTTGGGGATGATTGGATAAGCTCCCAGGCAGAGTGCAGCGTGTAACATGTGACGATGATGTCCTTGAGGACAAACGAGGAGCGAGCCTCATTCATCCCAGGGCTCGGTGGACAGCCCACAGGCTGAGAAAAAGCCATTAAAATGTTTCCACTCTGTCTTCTCCCTTCTGTCAACTGCAGTAGATTTGAGGTGTTTCAGTAATTTAAAAAGGAAAACAGTATCTCAGCCTGACTACAGAGTGCGCGCGGATGCGCGCGCGCACACACACACACACACACACACACACACACACACACTGTGAAAAATCTCATTGCACCTTTTCAACTCCTCCTGCACCTGTTTCCAGTGACATCACATTTGTGCCCCTCGGCCAACTCTCTCTCTCTCTGAGGATTCAGGACTGGGTCCTGCGTCGGGGGAGGTCTCTGACTTCTGGAATTTCCAGATGAGGAGACGGAGGACCCAGTTGGGACATCTGCTTTGTGGCAGTGCTCGGACTGGACCCCAGCCCCTCCCTTGGGTGCCTGGTCCTGTCTGTGTGGCACCCTCCTCAGAGACACCCTGGAAGCCAACAGAGGCTGACAGCCTGCACAAAAATCGCCATAACCAGCGACAGCTGACACTTACTAAATACATATCTTGTGTCAGTCACAGCTCTAAGAACTTTAAATGGATGATCTCATTTAATATTCCCGACATCCCTTGTGGTATTCGTATTTTACAGATGAGCAAACTGAAGCTGAGTAATTGGTCAGAGGTCATACAACTAGTAAGCTGTATATATAACTAGTGGAGCATGGATTCAAAGCCAGGTGGATTGCTTCCTGAGCCCACTCAAATCTGGTGGGTCTCACCCCAGGGTGCACATTAGAACCGCCTGCGGAGCTTTCCAAACTCTTGCCATCTGGGCTTTTGGTCAGGCTCATCGGATCAGCATTTAAACCTTGCAGGTGATGCAGTGTGCATCCTGGCTTGAGTACTGACGCACTGTCCTTCTTTCCTGGTACCCTGTACTGTTTCTCCTGAATTGTTTCTAATTCTTCTGAATTGCTCCCGTTCAGCATTTCGTCCCTCCCAATCATGGTGCAGGGCTGACTCATAGGGATGCTCCATCCCAACATTTCCTTTTCTCAGGAGGGAGCCAGTGGGACTCAGGCTATTCCTGGCCAACTGTAGTGAGGACTGGGGACAATGGATAATGGATAATGACGTTCCCCACTCCATCCGTGACTGCTTACCCCCCAACCCTGTCCCCAGCCATCTTCTCTCTCATCCTGAGCTCCTCTCGTCCTCACCCCCATGATCCACGTGGGCCGTGGGCACGGTAGTATCATTACCGAAGCCAGTGGTTCTCGAAGTAGGATCTGAGGACCCGTGGGTGTACCCAAGATCCTTTCTGTTACTATCTGAAAAGTAGATGTCCAACTACCTGCGTGCACGACACCAGGTTTTCATCATCAACTTCGACCAAAACAACATGTGGCTACAGATTGAGTGCAGAAGCAGACATGAGAGGCCAGCTGTCTTTTATTAAGCCAGATGCTAAAACAATTTGTAAAAAGGCAAAACAATGCGATTCCTCTCATTGATTTAGTTTTTGGCTTGAAAATTGTGGCTATTTTTCATAAGAATTATGTCATTTACATTAACATGTAATAGGTTTATTACTGTTATTTTTAAATGAATAAACATTTAAAAAATTCTCAGCTTTAATTACTAGTACAGTAACTTGATAGATACAACCTGCATAAACTAAAGCTCTTTGGAATCCAAGATAATTTTTTTTTGCCATTTAAAAAAAATTAATTAATTTAGTTTTTGGCTGCGTTGGGTTTTCATTGCTGCGTGTGGGCTTTCTCTAGTTGCGGCGAGCTGGGACTACTCTTCTTTGCGGTGCATGGGCTTCTCATTGTGGTGGCTTCTCTTGTTGCGGAGCACGGGCTCTAGGTGTGTGGGCTTCAGTAGTTGTGCCTCATGGGCTCTAGAGCACAGGCTCAGTAGTTGTGGCGCATGGGCTTAGTTGCTCTGCAGCACGTGGGATCTTCCCGGACCAGGGCTCGAACCCGTGTCTCCTGCATTTGCAGGCAGATTCTTAACCACTGTGCCACCAAGTAAGTCCGGAATCCGAGATAATTAAAAAAATTTTTTTTTAATAAATAAATAAATAAATAAATAAATTTTTGGCCACATTGGGTCTTTGTTGCTGTGCGCTGGCTTTCTCTAGTTGTGGCAAGCGGGGGCAACTCCTCGTTGCGGTGTGTGGGCTTCTCACTGCGGTGGCTTCTCCTGTTGTGGAGCATGGGCTCTAGGCACGCAGACTTCTGTAGTTGTGGCTCACGGGCTCTAGAGCGCAGGCTCAGTAGTTGTGGCGCTTGGGCTTAGTTGCTCCATGGCATGTGGGATCTTCCTGGACCAGGGGTCGAACCCATGTCCCCTGCATTGGCAGGTGGATTCTTAACTACTGTGCCACTAGGAAAGTACCCGAGATAATTTTTAAGAGTATAAAGGGGTCTAAAGCTTGAGGACTGCTGGTCTAAATCATCCACTGTTTTCTCAAACCACCCATCTCAGATCAGCTTGGAGGGGGATTGATGGCTTTATATTTATATTATATTTATTATTATCGCTTCTTGGCCTTTTGGC